CACACAACTAATAGCAACAGAAACAAATCAGAATATTTTTTAGAATAGTCCATGCAGAAACTGCACTCATCTGTTAATATAGGAAATGCAATGGTGATGAACTCATTAGGGAGAAATAAATATTGTATTATATTAGCTTTTATATGTTAAGAAGTGGTTGATTCTAGAGAGCTAGGAAACTTTTTCCATAAAATAAATTGAACCATGTAATTCATTGAATACTCTGATCTCAAATATGGATTTCTAAAGCTGCATTAAAATGAAAACAGGGATGAAAATAGAGATGGTCAATTTAAGTCAACAACATGGAAAGAATTTGAAGAGGATGAGATTAATATTTTCAAAGTCAAATTTTGCCAGAATCATAGGTGTTTCTCCTTTTTGTTAGGGAGTTCCCTTCATTTCTTCAATTCAAATTACTTTATTTTCATCATTGAATTGTGGAGAAAAAATATTAGATTTCCATAGTAATACATTTACTATTCCAAAGATGGAAATATTATTTGAAGATATGTTTATTTAGAAGTTAAATAAAAATTTGCAAATATTTTAGTGGTTTCTGGAACAAAATTTGTAACAAACCACTTAATTTTTTTTTTTTTTGCCTAGCTCAGTTTTCTAGCCTATCAGTGAGAAATAAGCAAAATCAGACTCAGTCATCAGCATAAAAGTAAAAATAAAAATTAAAAAAAAGTGGTGTCAGAATATAGTGTCTACTCTAGGATCAGGATATAAGTAAGATAATCATTTCTGTAAAAAGAAATTAAGAAGAGAGAGAAGAAGACAACCCAAATTATTTGCTAGTATTTGTTTTCCCTCTTCTTCTCCAAGTGCAGTTTTAGTAGTGGTTCAACTTTATTTCATCTTGACCTTAAAGCATTTCTCAAAAATTGAAGGTGTGCTTGAAAGGAAACAAATATTTCTTTTGGAAATTTAGTTTCTTTTTGATGTGCTTGAATATTTTTGACAGTATTCTAAATTCTTACTCATGCTAGGAAATGACTGGTTATGGATGATAAGCCACTTGACATACTGCCTGCATCATATAAAGGCCTTGTAACTGTATTGCAGGATGCTTATACTTAGAACTTTAGGGCTGGGTCCTGGACCAGACATTCAGAAATATTCTATGGTCTTCAAGATTTGCAGTAGTTTATTTTATCATGTCCTCTTAGTAAATAAACTGGTAACCTGCTGTAATATCCAATGCCCAGAGATAAAAGTCTCACCAGAGATTCTTGAAGAAAATTAGCTTTTATTGTTGAGAAATATTGTAGTGTAGAAAACCCTATAGTGTTTAAAAGAAGAGTAACTTGATAACAGGGCCAGTATTTTCACCAAGTGTGCTAGTCAGCTTTGCATCACTGTGACCAAAAGACTCAACAAAAACAACTTAGAAGAGGAAATTTTTATTTTGACTCACCTTCTCAGAGGTTTAGTCCATGATGGGCCAACTATATAGTCTGAACCCCAAATCAGGCAGAATATCATGGCAGAATGATGTGGTAGAAGAAAGCTATTCAGTTTATGACAGCCAGGAAGTAAAGTGAGAAAGAGTAAGGTGCCAGGGACAAAATATGAACCCTAGAAGCATGTCCCCTAGTGACCTACTTTTTCCAGCCACACTCCTCCTCCAGCCTATAATCACTACCTAGTTGATCCATTCAAGTGGATTAATCCACTGATTAGGTTATAACTCTTAGAATCTAATAATTTACCTCTGAACATTCTTGCATTGGCTCACACATGAGCTTCTGGGGAACCTCATATCCTAACCATACATTCTGCCCCTGGCCTCTAAAAACTCATGCCTGTTTCACAGTGAAAAACACATTCAGTCCATTTGCAAGAGTTCCCACAGTCTTAACAATTCCAGCTTGCCCCAAAATCCAAGTCCCAAAGTCTCACCTGAGGCTCAAGGCAAACTTGTAACCTATGGGTCACCAAGGGGACATGTTTCTGGGGTTCACATTTTGTTCCTGGCCCCTTACTCTTTCTCACTTTGCTTCCTGGCTGTCATGAACTGAACAGCTTTCTTTCACCACACCATTCTTCCATGATATTCTGCCTGATTTGGGGTTCTGAGTATATAGTTGACCCATCATGTACTGAATCTCTGAGATGGCGAGTCAAAATAAAATATCGCCTCTGCTCAGCGATAATCTATTTTAAAGTTGTATAGTCCCATAAATGTACTCAAACCCACGATGTAGCTCACCACGACTACCATTATATCCTGAGTTGATTACATTCTGTGGGGTACAAAGTACAGGAAAATAATTTTTATAAGAAGACAGCTTTCATTTAATTTTCTCAGAAACAGCTCTTGTAACAGTTTTTATAGAAGGCAGCAAGGTGGAGTCTTAGGCCTGTCTGTGACAGTTCTTGCTTTATAATTGTCCTGTCTCACTTATCAAAATCTTATATCTATAATCTGTATTTTTTAACTAATCTATAACCTATAACTTATACTCTTACTGATTTTATTGAGGAATTTTGAAAGTTTAGAGATACAGACTGAAAAAGCTTTAGAATGTTCTAAGTTGTGTTTAGTAGGCCAAAACATACTTACTAAAGAGATTCTAAGTACTTTTCCCAGAGACAAGAGGAAAGCTACTGCTGAACCACAACCCCAGCTCCCATTTGTGATTTTTTCCATGCCTGTTTTGCCCCTGATATTATTCCATAAATATTTGAAGAAATAAAAAGAGAATATAGACATGCTCTTTTTATTGTCTGAGTTTTCTATCACTAAATTATTCCAAAAAAGAACATCCCTGTTATATGTTCTGTTGTTACCACAATAAATCCTAAAAGGGTGGACATTTTATTTTTTAGATTGTTTTTCTAAAAACTAGCTATCTTTAATTCTGAAAAATAAAGAGTCAAGTTTTTTAAAAACCATTTGTTTTAAAAACTGTATATCAGTACATACCTCGTTTGTGAATGTGCATATACATGTGTGTATATATATATATGTGTGTGTTTGTGTGTGTGCTTATAATTGGATAATTGTGCTCCTAATTTTATGTACAAATGAAGGGTTTTCATTCACATTTTGTAACTTCAGACACTCTGATTGGAGGATGGTTATTTTTAATGCCCCTGTTCAGAGTTAATACATACAATTTCACAGGTAATTATCATTCTCTGGTTTAACTATTACAATAGCCTCTTTACTAAACATCTATTCTGAAGTATCATAGATAATTAAAAGTTAATTTGGCTCCCATGATACTTAAATGTTAGAAAAGCTCTAAGAAAATCATCATATTCTTCACATCAAAGGACTATGTTGACATTTGCATTTAAGTTCTGCTGACTAAATTTAAAAATCAAGTTCCCTTAAACAAATTTTGATGGTAAGAATTAGATGTCCCAGATTTTTTGATATTATAACCCATCATAACAGTAGCCTTCATGAAATTTATTGCTAGACACTATGGGTACTTTTATAGACATTTACTCATTTAATTAGACGTTGAGTTAAAAATTGGCCATATTTTTTACAACAGTTTAAAGCAATAGAAATTTATTCTCTAAACAGTTTTGGAGGCTAGACATCTGAAATGAGTTTCACTGAGTGTGAAGCTGTCAAGAGGACTGCATTTCCTAGGGAAGCTATAGGAAAGAATGCATTCTTTGAATTTCTCTGTGTGTCTGTGTCTCTGGGAATTCAACCTAGAGGCACTCTACTGCTGAGCTGCATCCCCAGCCCTTTTTGTTTTGAGACAGTTTCTCCCTAAATTGGTGAGGTAAACTTGTGACCCTCCTGCCTCAGCCTCCCAAGTTGCTGGGATTACAGGGGTGCATGGCACCTGCCATTCATTGTATTCTTTGCTCATGGTCCTTTCTCTATCTTCAAAGCTAGCAGTCACATGATCTTTTTCTATTTTGTAGTAAAATTTTTCTGTACTTCATTCATATATGGACACTTGCCATTACTTTGTAGCCCCCATGAGGCAGTCTTCTGACTCAGGATCCTTAGTCATGTATTCAAAGTTTCTTACTCCATATAAGGTAACATTCACAGGTTTTAGAGATTAAGCTACAGATATCTTTTGGAGACCATTGTTTTTACTTGCTTATTTATGCCAAAATGGAGTACAAAATCTTGCCAAAAGATAAAAAGCAAAACATGTTAGAAATAGGCATGGTTTGTTTAAAAAAAAAAGTGGAGATAGGTTGATAAAAGATCTTGTAGTTGTTCTACCATGTTCCAACATTTTATATTATTGACCAGTATTTTTTGTTGTAGATTGGAAGCAAATAGGACATTAAACTTTAGTTTTTCCTAATATATTTCATCTTCTATCCTTGTCTTTCACTTCCTTATAAAACCAATGTTTTGGGGCTGGAGTTGAAAGTGAGTTGAAAGTGAAAGACAAGAATAGAACAGTGCTTGCCTCACATGCATGAGGCCCTGGGTTCCATCCTCAGTATCACATAAAATAATTAAATAAAAATAAAGATATTGTGTTCATCTACAACCAAAAAAAATAAAATAAATTTTTAAAAAACCCCAATGTTTTGTAATCTAAATCTTGAATTCATGAATTGAAATATATATGTACATGGCCTGATACACAGATTATTTAGAATTACTTTGCATTTGATATTTGAACATGACCAGAGACACATTCAGATATATGCTTCCTTATTCTCTTAAAGCCTTTACTTCACTCTCCTTTGTTATTAACCACTTAGCCACTGATGATGGCACTCTAAATAATAGTATGAAAGTCTTTCCAAAATATCTCTGAAGTTTCTTAACTCCTCCAAGTTCATAGATCTATGAGCTAGATTATTATTTTCTGGTTTTGCTCATTATCATGCCACTTTTGTGGTTAATTGTACACCTTTGAAGAGAAATTTTCATTTGGTACCTTTTTGTGGTATGTTTAAAGACTTGCAGAGTTACCAGTAAACATGTTTCAGCATGTATTTTGTTACATAATTTAAAAGCTAAATGTTTATACATTTTCTTTCCTGAACTATAGGATACCAGAAGGCCCCATTGATCAGGGACCAGCCACAGGAAGGGTACATATTTTAGAAGAGCAGCTTGTTAAAGCCAAAGAACAGATTGAAAATTATAAGAAACAAACCAGAAATGGTAAGTAATAAGTGATTCCCTCACTCAGTACATTGGCTTTAGTACAAATAATTGAAAATATCAAAATTTTATCTAAATCTTGGAAATTCTGATATTCCTTTTATTCTTTGACTGCAGGTCTAGGAAAAGATCATGAAATACTAAGAAGGAGAATTGAAAATGGAGCTAAAGAACTCTGGTTTTTTCTACAGAGTGAATTAAAGAAATTAAAAAATTTAGAAGGAAATGAACTCCAAAGACATGCAGATGAATTTCTTTCCGATTTAGGACATCATGAAAGGTACTTTTCTTCCTATACATATGATAGGGCTACAGTGCAGAGTGTAGTCTAAGAATAAGAGACTGCAATTTTTGTTAATTTCTCTCTTAAATGGTAGAGCAGTAGAGTATGTGAGGTCTTAACGGACAGAAAATATTATTTAAAATGTATTTCTAGAAATATTTTTTTTCTTTTTGGCTACCAGGGATTGGACTCAGGGGTATTCAACCACTGAGCCACATCCCCAGCCCTTTTTAGTATTTTAGAGATAGGGTCTAACTGAGTTGCTTAGTGCCTCACTGTTGCTAAGGCTGGGTTTGAACTCACGATCCTCCTGCTTCAGCCTCCTGAACTGTTAGGATTACAGATGTGCGCCACTGCACCCAGCTCTGGAAATCTTTATACCATAAAAACTCTGAAGGTAGTGGTATCAACCAACAATACAATAAAATCTTTCTATAAATGCCCTTCATGTATGATCAATATTTGAAGCTGACTGTGTATTTTTACACTGTAGTACGTTGCAGCTCATATTAAGACTACAGTTATGCTTCTCATTCAAACACTGAACTCTTTAAAATAGTCCCTTTTGTAGGTTTAGAGGATTTGGATAAAAAGGAGTATTCTGTTAGTTGCTCTTCCATGTCGTTAGTAAAAAGAGAAACTGAGATCTGCCCACTTAACGTTTGTTTCTACTATTTATGCATTTCTAAATAATGTGCAATATATCTTTTGTTTTCCATGGGAATTTGCTCACCAGAGGAACACTTCCATGTACATATTCATGTTCAGAATACCTATAATCTTTCAAAAAAAGAAAATATTTTGGTGGTAGTATTTCATGCAGAGCAAAATGTATCTGAAAATCATTATAAATACAACAAAAACTATCCTTTGGCCTCTTATATTGAAAAGCCTATGTTCTCAGTAGGATTCTGATGGCAATTACTGTCTCATTAATGAACAATAAAAGAAAAATTGGTATATTAGCACAGCGTACCACTGAGAAGAGGAAAAGGATTACCCTGTACAAACAAAGGATTCATATATATTAACATCATCAACAGTATTATGATTTTGAAAAATTGCTATTTAAGTGAAAGTACAAATAAAATCTGTCAGTTTATTGGAATCATTTTAGCATTAATGATTCTTTAGAAATACGATAACATGGATTTCAAGGGTCATTGAATTATGAGGCCCCACACTATGCAGTCCCTGTGAAATTTTTAGCCCAGCTTGTCGTCATGCCATATTTAGACCATTAGACCAAATATTGACTAATTCTTAATATATCTCTATCCTACAGCAGATACTAGACACCAAGTGCCTGATAAATTGGGGTTGGTGATTATGTGGTTTGCTGAAGTTTTGTAGGAAAATACAGAATTGACGATTTGATATGGGTAGACTATGTGTATATAACAGGAAATTTTTAATATTGGCTACTGATGGAATGTTTAAATGACTTAATTAAATTACTTGAATTTGATTTTCAGGTCTCTTTAAAATTAAAATAATTTTTAAACCCCATTTTATAAATATAATTTGTACATGTACTTCATGATTTTGTACAAATGAAAAGTGAATATAATAAATGGGCCGATGAAAAAATTGATGTAAACCAATGCTATATTTTTTTTTGTTAGGTAATTCTGCTACAAATGTATTAGAATTCCTGACACTGACATTTAGTATATGTTAAATAGCATTTCAATGAAGACAATATGGAAAGTACAGGTGCCCTAATTAGTTTCTTTTGCTATCTTAAGCAGAAATTATAATGCATCTGAGACACAACTTCACAGAGTAGTAATTTAGCTTCAGAAATGAACAACACAACCAAATATTAGAGAAATAACCTTTAAAGTTATAAATGTACAACTAGAAAGTGTTTGTAATATATACCAAATGTGAAATATGAAAATATCTTCACAGTAGCTATTTTTAAGATCCTTAAGTAGAATTAAAATTAAAATACACTTATGTTTCCCTCTGGTGATTTTCAGTAACACAAAAATCCTCATGTTTATTTATTCATGTTTTATTAGTAGACTTTTTTTTTTAGAACAGTGTTATATTTACAGACATTTGAGAAAATAGTGCCCATGTAGCCCACATTCAGTTTCCCCGTTTACTTACATCTTACATTAGTTATAGTACATTTTTTACCCACTTCATTTTTTTATTTTATTTTTTTTAGTTGTAAATGAACATAAAACCTTTATTTAGTATTTTTTATGTGGTGCTAGGGATTGAACCCAATGCCTCACACATGCTAGGCAAGCGCTTTAACACTGAGCCACAACATCAGCCCTACCCACTTTATTTTTATACTTGCCCAAATTATAGTTTATAAGGTGTCTCTGGACAAAAATTTTTATTTTCTGAAAAGTCAGAAGTTAAGTCTATTAGTTTTCTTATTTAGATTTCTCTATGAAGCACACAGAGACTTCACTGATAGGGGAAAATATGGGTTTTGATTTTTTTTTTTTTTTGCCTTTACACATGTACTTTTTTTTTGCATTACAATTTTTATTACACATATATACCACATTTTTTCATATCTCTGTATATAAAGTATGTTGACACCCAAATTGAGTCTTCATACATGTACTTTGGATACTGATGTCCATCACATTCCACCACCCTTCCTAATCCCCTGCCCCCTCCCTTTCCATCCCACCCCTCTTCCCTGTCTAGAATTCATCTAATCCTCCCATGCTCCCCCTCCCTACCCCACTATGAGTCATCCTTCTTATATCAGAGAAAACATTCGGCATTTGTTTTTTTGGGATTGGCTAACTTCACTTAGCATTATCTTCTCCCACGCCATCCATTTACCTGCAAATGCCACGATTTTATTCTCTTTTAATGCTGAGTATTGTGTATATATGCCACATTTGTGTATATATGCCACATTTTTTTTTATCCATTCATCCACTGAAGGGCATCTAGGTTGGCTCTACAGTTTAGCTGTTGTGAATTGTGCTGCTATAAACATTGATGTGGCTGTGTCCCTGTAGTATGCTGTTTTTCAGTCCTTAGGAGAGGGATAACTGGGTCAAATGGTGGTTCTATTCCCAGATTTCCAAGGAATCTCCATACTACTTTCCAAATTGGCTGCAGCAATTTGCAGTCCCACCAGCAATGTATGAGTGTACCTTTTTCCCCACATCCTCAGGAACACTTATTGTTATCTTCCTAATAGCTGTCACTCTGACTGGAGTGAGATGATATCTTAGAGTAGTTTTAATTTGCATTTCTCTGATTGCTAGAGATGATGAGCATTCTTTTCATATATTTGTTGATTGATTGTATATCATCTTCTGAGAAGTGTCTGTTCAGGTCCTTAGCCCATTTGTTGATTGGGTTATTTGTTTTTTTCGGTGCTTAGCTTTTTGTGTTCTTTATATACCCTAGAGATTAGTTCTATCTGATGTGTGAGGGGTAAATATTTGCTCCCAGGATGTAGGCTCTCTGTTCACCTCACAGATTGTTTCTTAGTTTGTCCATCCCATTTATTGATTCTTGGTTCTAATTCTTGCCCTATAAGAGTTTTATTAAGGAAGTTAGAGCCTAATCTCACATGATGAAGATTAGGGCCTACTTTTTCTTCTAATAGACGCAGAGTCTATTAATTCCTAGTTCCTTGATCCATTTTGAGTTCAGTTTTGTGCGTGGTGAGTTTAATTTCATTTTGTTGCATATGGATTTCCAGTTTTCCCAGCAACATTTGTTGAAGATGCTATCTTTTCTCCAGTGCATGTTTTTGGTACCTTTGTCTAATATAAGATAATTATAATTTTGTGGGTTAGTCTCTGTGTCCTCTATTCTGTACCATTGGTCTACCAGTCTGTTTTGGTGCCAATACCATACTGTTTTTGTTACTATTACTCTATAGTATATTTAAGATCTGATATAGTGATGCCATCTGCTTCACTCTTCCTGCTAAGGATTGTTTTAGCTATTCTGGGTCTCTTATTTTTCCAGATGAATCTCATGATTGCTTCTTCTAATTCTATCAGGAATGCCATTGGGATTTTGATCGGAATTGCATTAAATCTGTATAGTACTTTTGGTAGTATGCTCATTCTGATAATATTAATTCTGCCTATCCAAGAGCAAGGTAGATCTTTCCATCTTCTAAGGTCTTCTTTGATTTCTCTCTTTAGGGTTCTGTAGTTTTCATTTTATAGATCTTTCACCTCTTTCATTAAGTTGATTCCCAAGTATCTTTATTTATTTATTTTTTTTAGGTTATTGTGAATGGGGTAGTTTTCCTCATTTCCTTCTCAGAGGATTTGTCCTTGATATACAGAAATGCCTTTGATTTGTGTGTGTTGATTGTATGTCCTGCTACTTTGCTGAATTCATTTACTAGTTCTAAATGTTTTCTGGTGGAGTTTTTGGGGTCTTCTAGGTATAGAATCATATTGTCAGCAAATAGTGCTAATTTAAGTTCTTCTTTTCCTATATGTATCCCTTTTATTTCTTTCGTCCGTCTAATTGCTCTGGCCAGTGTTTCAAGAACTATGTTGAACAGAAGTGTTGAAAGGAGGGCATCCCTGTCTTGTTCCAGTTTTTAGAGGAAATGCCTTCAATTTTTCTTCTTTTAAAATGATGTTGGCCTGAGGCTTAGCATAGATAGCCTTTACAATGTTGAGATACGTTCCTGTTATCCCTAGTTTTTCTAGTGTTTGACCATAAAGTGGTGCTGTATTTTGTCAAATATTTTTTCTGCATCTATTGAGATGATCATATGATTCTTATCTTTAAGTCTGTTGATGTGATGATTTACATTTATTGATTTCCATATGTTGAACCAATCTTGCATCCCTGGGATGAATTCCACTTGATCATGGTGCACAATCTTTTTGATATGTTTTTGTATTTGATTTGCCAGAATTTTATTGAGAATTTTTACATCTATATTCATCAGAGATATTGGTCTGAAGTTTTCTTTCTTTGAGATGTCTTTGCCTGGTTTGGGGATCAGGATGCTATTGGGCTCGTCAGAATGAGTTTGGAATTACTCCCTCTTTTTATATTTCCTGAAATAAATTGAAGAGTATTAGTATTAGTTCTTCTTTAGAGGACTTGTAGAACTCGGCTGTTTATCCATCCGGTCCTGGGCTTTACTTGGTTGATAAGCTTCTGATGGCATCTTCTAATTCCTCACTTGATATTGGTCTATTTAAATTGTGTATATCTTCCTGACTCAATCTGGGCAAACCGTATGACTTAAAAAATTTGTCGATGCCTTCAATGTCTTCCATTTTATTGGAGAATAAGTTTTCAAAATAATTTCTGATTATCCTCTGTATTTCTGTAGTGTCTGTTGTGATATTACCTTTTTCATCATGTATGCTAGTAATTTGAGTTCTCTCTCTCCTTCTCTTAGTTAGTGTGGCTAAGGGTCTATTTACTTTTTCAAAGAACCAACTTCTTGTTTTGCCAGTTTTTTCAATTGTTTCTATCTCATTGATTTCAGCTCTAGTTTTAATTATTTCTCGCCTTCTACTACTTTTGCTGATTTGTTCTTTTTTTTTTTTCCCTTCTAGGGCTTTGAGATGTAGTGTGAGGTCATTTATTTGTTGAGTTTTTCTTCTTTTAAGGAATGAATTCCATGCAGTGAATTTTCCTCTTAGTACTGCTTTCATACTGTTCCAGAGATTTCAATATGTTGTATCTATGTTCTCATTTACCTCTAAGAATTTTTTAATCTCCTCCTTGATGTCTTTTGTGACCCATTGTCACAGTAGCATATTGTTTAATCTCTAGGTAATGGAGAAGTTTTTATTTTTTGTCACTCATTTCCAATTTCATTCCATTATGATCTGATAAAATGCATGATAGTATCTCTACTTTTTTGTGTTTGCTAAATCTATCCAGTGGTGAGAGAGGTATGTTAAAGTCACCCAAGATTATTGTGTTGTTAGTTTGACTCTTGAACTTGAAAAGAGTTTGTTTGATGAACATAGCTGCTCCATTGTTTGGTGCGTATATATTTATGATTGTTATGTC